AGCATTTACACCGCCATCCGCCAACTCTGATTAGTACCGGCCTTATTAAATATCCCAGCAGAAAGACTGAGATACTCGAAAAAAATGTTCTTCCCATTCGGGTATCGAACTCGGGTCTCCTGCTTGCGACAGCCGATTGCGCCTAACCACTACATCACAAACGCCGGTACTCTTTGGAGTAACATATGAGAGAAGCACGGAGTGGGGGGAAAAAACACACAACCCCCCCCAAGAGACACGCAAGACAACTACAAGGAGAAAATATGATACAATAAAAAGGAGATTTGAAGTAGAAACATGACAATTACGAAAATACTCAGTTATGCCTATTATGACAATATGCGGGCACCCTGCCCCCCTTCAAAAAAATCCTACAGCACCTCATATTTTATGAATGCACGCGCGGACCGGACTGGTTGTACTCACAAGAGCCGCGAGCAGCAAATAGCTGCCGAGCCACGGACTTGTTGGGAATAATCTCAAACATTAAAAAAAAATCAATAGCCACCCCCGGGGGTGGCGTTCCCATGGCAACAACGTATAATGTAATGATTTCGCGACGAGAAGGCGGGTCTTCGAGGATGGGAGCTGGCAAACAGGTCTCGGCGAGTCGGTGCCCTCGAATCTATCATTGAATTCTTCTCGACATTATTATGATGCCGCATGCGAGGAGCCCTAGGGGAGGGTTACCTATATACATATATAAATATACATGTATACATTTTTATATATTATACAGTGGCGTCCAAAAGAAACTTGAAAATGTCATCATCAAATCATCGTGTTAAAGCTTTGCAGTACCCACTCATGCAGCATACCAACCTAAAGCTTAATAAATTCTGCATCATCTGAAAACAATAATAGTTCATAACTATATGACTATGGTCAGTCAAAATTGACCTTAAAAATCATGCTTGGTCAAATTGTGCGAAATCAAAGAAACGTTAATTGGCCCTGTGCGAAAGTGCTTTGCCATGCATAGAGATGTCTACTTTAATGACACCATGACGAAAATAAGAGTAAGACCTGGAGTTCCAACACTTGCGCGATGTTGTCCACTAAACCAAGCCATCCGGTGATTCACACGCGGGCGGTTTTGTTCATTCCACTCCAGACCACCTAAAACCATGGCAGTTTTGTGGCCTCTGCTCCTCACAGGCAAATGATTTGTCCAAATTATAACTAATGTGCAAAAAGGTTTCGTGCTTTCAACGAAACCAATAGCTACTAAACAAAATCAAAATCCTACAAATGAGCACATGCAATGTTAAGTCCAGGTTTTGCTTAGTATTTGAGACTAATCTGTTCTCTAATCTGTTTGAAAATATCACCAGAAGAGGCTGTTCATTGTAGAAACAATACTATTCTCTTGCATGTGTATGTTATGCGAATCTTTAACAAGATGATTAGGTGATTACATTTTCAAGTTTCTTTTGGACGTCCAAAATAAATTTGAAAATATAATCACTCAATCACCGGGTTAAAGCATTCCAGCATATCAGTTTAAAGTTAAATACCATGTAACTTCTGCTTCATCTGACACATTAATATTTCATCTATGCTAAGAGATGCCCCAGATATGGTCATCCAAAACTGACCTTAAAAAAATCAGGCTTTGCAAAATTGTGCGAAATTAAGGAAACGTAAAATTGTCTTCGCGAGTGTTTTGAGGAACATCAATATTGATAGAATGGACATACATTACATATCCAATGAACGGAGAATTTGGTATTGCAATTAAAAAAAAAAATTATATTTTGATATTTTGTCATGATAGTTACCCCCCCCCCCCCGGGAAATAGGGCAATCACAAATACCATGCAGAACTTGGACTTGGCATTAAATGTGCTCATTGTTATTTTATTTAGGAGCCTTTAGTTTCGTGTAGTACACGAACCCATAGGGCATCGACACTAGTAATTTTGGACATCATTATCCGTAATCTCACCTTAAATGTCACAGAAGAGTTGCAAACAAAGGATCTGAAATGAGAGCAAAGTCGCTTTTCTTCGCCTGCTGTTTCATGGTACTTCCCACTTCACATACCTATAGGATTCATATCGAGACTATTTATAAATGACCACTCCAACATTGATTTGATTTGGTTTTTCAAGAACTATCTAGTGACATTGGCCCTGTGAGAAAGTTCTTTGCTATGCATGGAGATGTCTACTTGAATGACACCATGACGAAAATAAGGGTAAAACATGACATTCCAGCACTTGCGCGTTGTAGTCCACTGAACTAAGCCATCCTGTGACTCTCATGAGGGCGTTTTTGTTCATTCCACCCCAAACCACCCAAAACCATGGCAGTTCCGTGGCCTCTGTTCCTCACTGACAGATGATTACGTCCAAAATTTAATTAACTCGGTCCATGATATGCAAAAGAGGGTCTCGTGCTCAACACGAAACCATTAGCTCTTAAACAAAATCAAAATTAATACTAATGAGCACATGTTTTGTTAAGTCCAGGTTTTGTGAGGTATACGTAACTGCTCTGTTCTCCAATCAGGAGATGCTGTTCATTGCAGAGACAATAATATTCTCTTTTCATTTTATTTTCAATACATGTCCATTCCACCAATGTTAATGCTAATGTGTCTAAATACGCGCGTGAATACACACGTTTCTCTGATTGCGCACAATTTTGCCAAGCCTGATTTTTAAAGGTCAATTTTGAGTGACAATATCTCGAGCGTCTCTTAACATAGACGAAATATTAATGCGTCAGATGATGCAGAATTTATTCAAGGCTTTAACACGATGATTGGTTGATTACATTATCAAGTTTCTTTTAGACGTCACTATATAGATCTATAAATATATATATATATAAACAATGTAATTATCATCCAATACCATTGTACTGACGAATCAGTGTTGCGTGCTGTGGTACATAGGAAACAGTGAGGGAGTGCGGAATGGTCGCGTGAACACACCGGTATGCTTCGGAACGCATGACATGTTAAAAAAAATAGGCCCTCTCTCTCTGGACCTACATATTATAATTAAGGTACCTATGGTCCATGGGTCTTTGATTTCCTTTTGCATTAGGACATGCGTGAGTCAGTACAAATAGAATGACAGAACCAAAACATGCCCACTTAGAACTATATTTAAGAGAGAGAAAGAGAGAGAGAGAGAGAGAGAGAGAGAGAGAGAG